GTTGCACGCGAAGGTTCACCGCACAGAGGAGGAGGAGGATGGGGAGGAGGAACTGTCCTTGGCCTCTGACTCTTTGTCGTCTTCCTCTGGCTTCCGCCAGGCTTCCGCCAGTGGAGCTGCCCTCGCCTTGCTTTTCGCTGGCTCCCGCCAGCCTTTAGCCACCGTCCGCCGAAGCAGAGACGTTGACCTATCGATGCCTTCGAGGCGAGGCCCTTGCCGGACCGCTCGACAGTTGGCGGCGGGCCGGGCGGCAGCGATAGTGTCTCCGATGCGTTTCCAGAATCCGCGAGAGAGGGGCGCAGCAGCGCACCCGCTAGAGAGAGAGAGAGGGAGAGAGAGCGGGAGAGAGAGAGAGAGAGCGAGAGCGATAGAGAGAGAGGGAGAGAGACACGGCATCATATGCATATATTGATGCACGCATACATAAGTATGCATGTGCGCCCATGTGTGTATACACATGTATGTATTGCGAAGGCCTTACGGCCGGTGCCGCCGACCCTGCAGGGGGACGACGACGACAACGACGGCGACGACGACGACGACGACGCTGACATGGGTCAGAGTCCTCAGGGATTTTGTTTGGGGTCTTTTCGGAGCGGTCTCGGATGCCTCTGGGGGGCAGTTTTTTGGGGCCCGTTGGGAGCATCTTGGAGGCCTCTTGGGAGCATCTTGTGGGGCATCCTGGGGGCCTCTTGGGGGCCTCTTGGGGCCTCTTGGGGGCCTCTTGGGGGCCTCTTGGGGCCTCCTGGGAACGTCTCGGGGCCGAGGGCTCGAAATGACCGTTTGGTTCCCTTGTCTGGGCAACCTTTTGGAGCTCTCTTGGGGCCCTCTTAGGCCGTCTTGCAGGCGTCGCGGGCTGTCTTCGGGCCCTCTTTGCCCCGTTTCGGGACCCTCTTGGAGGCCTCTTGGGGCGATCGTTGGAGCCTCTTGGGCCGTTTTGGAGCGCCGGGAAGCTGAAAAGGCGAGAACGCTCAAATCCTTGAAACATTTTAGTACATCAATGCATGTGTCTTGGGGCTCTCTTGGGAGTGCTCTTCGAGGCCTCTTGGGGCGTCTTCCAGTCCTCTTGGGTCGTCTGGAGGCCGTAAAGACGTCTCGGATCGATCGTTCGGCAATACGGGATCCTCTTGGACCGTCTTGGGGGCCTCTTGGGGCACTCTTGGCTCGTCTTGGGACTTTTTTTGGCCCCAGGCCCCCCAAGGGGGGGGAATATTCTTCACGCTTCCCGTGTCCCCACCAGCGCATTCAGAAGCCCTGCTTATGAGAGCTGACGGGAAATGGAAATAAAAGACACGTGTAGGGGAGGAGGGCATTGAGCCATCTTGAAGGCTATCTTGGAGCATCGGGACATCTTGGAGACATCTTGGGGACATTTTGGAGGGCATCGATCACATGAGGAGAGGTCCTCGATGTCGCCCCCCCCCCCCCCCCCTCAGGAGCCCTCAAAATCGCCTCTCGGAACCATCTTTGGGCTCTTTTGGGGGGTCTTGGGGCCCTTTTGGGGTCGTCTTGGGGCCCTCTTGGAGCCCTCCTGGAGCCCTCTTGGGGCTCTCTTGGGGCTCTCTCGGGAGCTCCGGAGCGCCCCTTGGGGTCATTTTCGAGGCTATCGATCAAAGGAGGGGGGTCCCGATCTAGGCCCCCCACACCTGGGGCCTCAACACATCTTGGGGCGCTCTTAAGCCCCTCTTGGGGCTCTCTTGGGCAATATTGTGGCCGTCTTGAGGCCTCCAAAGCCCATCGGAAGCGAAACCACGAGAAGGTAGCACACTGTTTTTCCTCAGGTGTTTGAAGGATGTTGGCTTCGTGGAGGGTTAGGAAGGCTCGAAGGGCACTTGGAACCGTCTTTGGGCTGGCTTGGGGCCTCTCGGGGAGGTATGTAGGAGGCTATGTTGGACCATCTTCGGCTATCTTGAGCAATCTTGCAGGCCGTCTTGGGATGCCGGGGGCCCTCTGGGAGCCGTCTTGGGCCCATCTTGAAACTCTAACTACCCGGTACCCCCCCTCCCAGACCCAGGGGAGGGGTTGGGGGAGGGGTCAAGACACCCTCCTAGATAGTAAGCCGTCTAGCTCAGTAACACATCAGTTACACTCCCCACACATCAGTAACACTCGAGTCTCAGCATGTTCAGCGCTCGTCTTTGGATGGGCAGCTACTGGGAACCAAAACCGATCCCATGTGCGCGACGCTTGGGCCCGAGCGTGCTAGGCGCGCCACGTGCTCCACGTGCGCCAGGTGTGCTGCATACTCCAGCCGCGCCAGATGCGCCACGTTCGGGACACGTGCGGAGTGTGTCAGGTGCGCTTGCGCACGTGACAACACACATCGGGAAACATGTCGGCCCCCACCATCCTTGTCGAAAACCAATGCTCATTATTGTGTCAGGTGGGCCTGCGCACAGCAGACCATACGCCACCACCCCCGCCGTCCCGGTCAAAAACCACTTCACAGTGATCGCGGAGTGGTTGCGCACGGTCCAGAATTATCCGAGAGGTGGATTTTTTTTTGTGATAGGGATGGTGACAGTATACTGACGCCCTCGCCGTCCCTGTCAAAAAACATGCAAAGTGTTCGCGGGCCTCGCGAACATGATTCAAGACTTTGCCCCAAGGTGTATTTTGTGCTGTTTCTTGACAGGGATTGCTGGGGGGGGGGGTTCGCATCGGGTTGGTTGCGCATGCTCCGAATGTGGAGGCAGGGTGCGTGTTGTATGGTGTTTTGACAGGGATGGTGTGGGGGGGTGAGGATGGGGTCCTCAAGGGTCCTGGTTGGCTGCCGGTCGCCTGGGGGAGGGGGTGTATGTTAACAGGGAGCAGTGATGAACCCCTGCGAGCAGGGGACGGATAAAACAGGGCTAGGATCGGGATAACTCGCTCCAGAGCGTTCCGGAGCGCTCTCAGAGCGTTCCGGAACGCTCTGGAGCGGCCGCGGCGCCCAATACATCCTCCAAACCCGCCTATTCTCAGAGATTTTGAGTTATCCCGATCCGATTTTGTCCCGATCTTCGCGTCGTTTCAACGGGCTCAAGGTCGGTTTGGCTAGCGCGCCCTGGGGCTTGGGGTTCGGGTCCTGGGGAAAAGGAAGAGAAGGTCCTGGGGCCGGGTCCTGGAATCAGGGGGTGGGGTCCAGAGTTGTCAGGCTCTCGGGTTCCGGGGTAGAGGAGGAGGAGGAGGAGGAGGAGGAGGAGAAGGAGGAGGAGGAGGATGACTAGAAGGAGGAGGAGGCTGAGAAGGAGAAGAGAGGAGGAGTTGCAGGGTCCTTGGAAGGATGTGAAGCTGGAAATCCGAAGGTACGGGGGAGAGGGGGGAAAGGCGCGGGGCGCGGGGCGCTTTCTTCCTGTGGAAAGGAAGGAGAGGGGGAGGAAAGGGAAGGCTCCCCCCCGTGTGGACAGGGTGAACAGAGGGGGCTGTGGACAGGGGGAACAGAGGGGGGACGGGGGAGAGGGGGGAAAGGCGCGGGGCGCGGGGCGCTCTCTTCCTGTGGACAGGAAGGACAGGGGGAGGAAAGGGGGGGCTCCCCCCCGTGTGGACAGGGGGAACAGAGGGGGGCTCTCTGAGGCGCTCTCCTCCTCGGGCGCGGCTCGGGGGCGGCTCGGGCGGCTCGGGCGCGGCCTGAAACAAGAAAGAATCCTTACGTGGAGTACTTACGGGGGGGGCGTCGTATCTGACCCGGGACTTCCCCGGGACTCCCCCGGGACCCCCCCCGGGACCCCCCCTCCCCCCCCCGTCGGGGAAGGGAAAGGGAAGGGGCTTCCCTTCGACTCAATTACGACGTTGCTCAAGGTCGGTTTGGCTGGCGCGCTTGAGGAGGAGGCCCTGGGAAAGACCCTCCCTCCCCCTCCCGGCGGGGGAGAGATTAAAGGGAAGGGGCTTCCCTTCGAATCAATTACGACGTTGCTGAAGGTCGGTTTGGCTAGCGCGCTTGAGGAGGAGGCCCTGGGAAAGGGCGAGGGGAGCGGGGAGGAGCCCAGGGGAAGAGGGGTACCAGGGAAAGGGAACGACAGAGACGACGATTACAAAGAATGACGGAGATGACGGCTCGAACGGAAAAGCCCCTCACACACGCCGACGGGGTCGGCGGATTATGTGCGCCCATGTGTGTATATACATGTATGTATTATACGCATGCATGCATGTACACCTACATCTGATTCGCAATCACTGGTATCCGATAAGAGGGCGAGGAGAAGATAGGGAGAGGTGGGTGAGAATGATGGAGGTGATGGTGATGCTGATGAAGGAAGTTGAGAGGAGATGCATGGAGGTGGGACGAGGGAGCAAAGATGGAGGAGAACGGAGCAGATACGAGGAGGAGGGAGGAGGGGAGGGCGTAGGGATGGATGAGCGAGGCAGAGGAAGGAGGGAAGCTGAGGAGGATAATATCCAATCCGGCGATGAGGGCGATGATATGGAGAGGAGCTTCAAAAACGCGGTGTAGATGAGGTGGGGAAGGAGGAGGGATCAGAGCGGATGCAACAGATCACCTCAGAGAACACCTCTTTGGATTTTGTTCGCGCGGATTGCCCAAACCAGCTTCGGTTCTCTAGTGAGCCTTGCTGATATCAAAGGCGTAGCCAGATCACGCGGCATATGATTTTGAAGTTCTTCAACTGGCTAGACGCCGAGGTGTGGGGGGGGACGTGCAACACACTATTCAGCAGATGCAGACCCCGCATATCTGGTCTTGTGAGAAAGGGCGACTGGCAGCTTTCGCTTTGTTTCGCGCCCAAGGGCCCTCACGGATCGGTCGGGCTCGAGGCATGGTGCAGACAGATGTCATTGAGGGCCTTGGTCGTGATTTGTCACGGCTTGGTTCTTTCCCCGACGCTGGCTTTCTGGGATCGTGTCCAGCCTCGCACGCAGTAGATTGACGTTCCAAGGCGCACCGAGAGTGTGGTGGGACACCAATGGACGGAGCCGCCCCGCGATAGTGTGAGGCCTTGGCTCCGTGCTTATAACTTCAGGTGATATGTCATGAACGGAGGAGGGGCTGGACATGAAAGAGGGAGCCAGGCACTGCCGACTCGCGCCGTACAGAGCGGCGAGCGCCGCATTTGGCACATCCTGAAGAAGCACAAAGACTTCTTCGGTAAGCCCGCCTCCTCCTGGAGACAAAAGGACCCTGGGGATTGCTCACATGATGAGGGAGTTGCGCACCTGCTGAGTAGCGTGCTCAACCGTGTCGAGCAGCATAGCAGGCAGGACGCATGGAAGTGTTACCACCTGACCTCGAAACATAATCGATACGCGGCGACGTGATGCCTCAACAGCAGACGTGAGTATTGTAACCAAACGCTGCCGTGCTAAGCACTACCGCAGGACGCAGACATGTGCAGGCACGGCGGGTTTGGGTTGCATCGTGTTCGGCCGGGGTATGCCCCTCTTCCTCACCTTCTCTATCCACCTCCTTGCCCTTCCCGTCCTCTTGCTGGAACTACCTCAAGATCGCAGAAGACGCACCCAGCAGGGACTGACCATCGCTCGATTGTCCAGGGTGATCGAATACAGGCGGCGGTAGCAGCGAAGCCTCCGACCCTTCCCACCTGGCCTTCTTCCGCCCTGCCATCCCCAGATCTTTCTCCATGCTTGCGTGGCCCAGTTCCCCAGATGTTGTTAGTCTTGAGTTCAAGCAGGTTTGACAGTGACACCGCGGAGCTCGAGCCTATGCTTACAGCCTCCACGGAGTGCGGACGTGTCCCAGGTGCCATGCGAGCGATTGTCGCTGCTACCAAGTGCGGGAAAGCATGACGAACACCGAAGAACTGTGGTGGCGACAAGTCGCTAGCAGTAGCCGCAGCAGCCTCGTTGCATGCCAGCCCCGATGCCATGTCCGCGGTTGCGTTTCAGCAGCGTGCGGCGCCTTGCTGATGTGTCGGGGATGGGGATTCTGGCGGAGGCCACGTTGGAGCGGCAGCAGCGGATCGACAGCCCAGTGGTGCACAGGGGGCAGAGGCGTTGGCAGGCAGTCCCCCTCCCGCCCGCCCCGTCGCCCTCCGCCCGCCCGCCGAGCGGGGAGCCCCCCCTCGGGGGTGTTGTCGGATGCCGGAAGACGCGAGAGACGGAGGCTTCCGAGGGCTTCTTCGGGCGCTGGCTGGCCCTCCCCCCTTGGCGGCTGCTTGATTTCCTGGACACGTCGGCAATCACGCAATTCACCGGGGACTGACGCATCTAAGCGAGTGGAGGACAGCCAGGGGGGGGTCTGGGGATTGGAGGGAAATGGCAGGCGAGGGGGAGGGCGGGGAGAGAATGGGAGGAGGAATGGGAAGACATAGGCGAAGGGGAGGGGTAGGGAAGGATGTCGGAAACGAAGGAGGGAACCAGAGGGGCGGCGCAGGACATTACTTGGAGCCAGAAGGAAGCCAAGGCCGCGCTGCTTAAGATAAGAGACAAGCTGGAGAACATCGGCTACGGAGGTGGAGGGAGGAGGAGGAGGGGAGGAGGAGGAGGAGGAGGAGGAGGAGGAGGAGGAGGAGGAGGAGGAGGAGGAGGAGGAGGAGGAGCGAATCGACACTCCGCGAAGGACGGGTTAAGCTCCGTTGTCAGCCGTGCCGCTCCCAAGGGGCACGACAGTCGGGGAGTGCTCGATAGGCGGCCTTGGGGGCGAACAGGGAACTACAACCCGAAGCATTGCCGATGTTGTAACAGCCTCTCGGGGGCCTCTGGAGGCCTCGGGGGCCTCGTGCAGCCCTGGAGGCCTCTTGGGCCTCTCTTAGGGGGAGCCGTCTTGGGGTGACCTTGGGGGCATATTGGGCCTGATTGGTTGAGACCGAGCTGTCGAGAAAGGAAGCAATCTCAGACAGCCACATATTGCGATTCGGCCATTTTGGCCTCCAGGGCTGGCCCCGCCCCCCCAGGGCCTCCAAGACGGCCCGGGAGGCCGCCACGATCACCTTAGATCACCGCGACAAGGTCCCCTGGGGCCGCCTTATCGCATATTGGAGGTTGAGGCCCGCGGCCACGCTGCCGAAGTCTCTGGAAACGCCACGCGGGGATTTCCAGGAGCGCGCGTGATCGCCCCGAAGCGCACGAGAGCTCCCGGGAATCCAGGGGTCTGGTCGTGTAGATTATGTACGATAATTATACACAGCAGAGTGCTTGAAAGGAGCTGAGTGCACTGAACTCGTTGCCTACGGCACGGTGGCGGAGCACAACGAGGGAGGACGTGTGTCGAGCAAGCAGGTTTGGAAGGCAGTCGTGGAGGGAGGACTGGAGGGAGGAGGCGCAGGAGGATGAGGAGATGTGCTTTCCCCTGCGAGCTGTTTCAACGTCCGAGCTCAGAGAGGCTGGACACTTTCTCGATGATATTGTTCATACGCTTAACCCTGGCGATATTATGGTGTTATGTGCTGGGTTCTGGTTCATCGCGCCCTCCTAGCGCACAACTTTGTCGCGCAAGAGGAGCGTCAACTCATCGATGACGAAACTGCTCGCCGATGTCAGCATAACTTGCGCACGGAAACTACTTGAGCTTGTAATAGCTTGAGCCTGCCACGATTGTATGTTGCACTTCTCGAGCTGCTTCCCTGGCATGCCATCGAACTTCACCCTCAAGCAGGTGGCGACCTCTTTTCAATCTCCCCGAACTTGACGAGGAGGAGGACAAGGAGGAGGTTGAGCAGCAGAAGGAGGAGGAGGAGGAGTACAGAAGAGGAGACAAGGTCGCACGAGGAAGGACTGAGGGAGGAACGGCAGGAGGAGGCATACGAGAAGGACCCAAGCCTTGAACGTAGCAGAAGATCCCGTGACGCCGGGAGCCTAGACTCGCTACCATCTTCCCTCTCCCTTCTGCCTCCCCCTCTCATCTTCTCTCTCGTCGTCGTCGTCGTCGTCGTCGTCGTCGTCGTCGTCGTCGTCGTCGTCGTCGTCGTCGTCGTCGTCGTCGTCGTCTGTGTCCGTGTCGTTCGACTCCCCTTTCTCCTTGCACTGCCCCTGGCCCTCCTCGTATTCCTCTTCCGCCCCCTCCTCCTCCTCCTCCTCTGCTTCCTCCTCCTTGTTCTCCTCCTCGTCGTTCTCGTTTTCGTTCTCGTTCTCGTTCTCCTCCTCCTCCTCCTCCTCCTCCTCCTCACGAGGATAATGATGGGGAGATAGATGGAGAAAAGGAGGAGGGGGATGAGGAGAAAGGGCGGGGGGGGAAGGAGGAGGAGGAGGTGGAGGAGGAAGAGGGGGAGGAGGAGGACAAGAAGGATGATGATGATGATGATGATGATGATGATGATGATGATGATGATGATGATGATGATGATGATGAGGAGGAGGAGGAGGAGGAGGAGGAGGAGGAGGAGGACGAGCGTAAAGAGGAGAAGGAGGAGTCGGAGGGGCATGAGGCGTATGAGGAGGATGAGCCGCATGAGCGGGTGGAAGAGGAAGAGGAGGAGGATAACCATCTTAAACCCAAGGAGGTCTCTCTCCAAGTTCCGTTTTCACAGGCCACAACAAGGATTCGTGTTCCATGAGGGAGGTGCTCCGTTCGAAGACAACCGTTGGAAAATCCTGAATTGTGCCAGAACACTGCTCCTGGGATTTCAACGCCGCGAATCACCGTTATTCCCACTTGTTTCGTGGGTTTCTGTCTTCCCACCCGCGTCGCACCCGCGTCTTCCTCATCACCTCCCGCCTCCCCCTTTCTCCTCCTCCTCGTCCTTCTTCCATTCACCCACACGCAACTCGTCCAGGGCATAGGAGGAGTGGCACTTTCCCGACACCGTAGGGGGTGCGCTGGTCCCTGAGCGCGGCCGCTATCCGTGCCGGTCGTCCAGGGCATAGCACGAGTGGCACTTTCCTAGGGGGTGCGCAGGGGGTGGTCCCTGAGCGCGGCCGCTACCCGTGCCGGTCGTCCAGGGAGTGGCTTTTTCCCCACATGTTTCGTGGGGTTCTGGTTTTTACCTAACAGCGAAGACTGATAGGTTTCTAGTAGGGTCAAAAGAGAGCATCATGACGCCCCAGGGGGGTCTGGGCGCGATCCGGGGGAGGGTGCCGGGGATTTTTTTTTAGCCAACAGTTACACACTTCGTGGTCTTCGAGGTCCCAGAACTCCATTCCCGGGCCACATTCTGAATGCCCGGAGCCAACTGTAGGCCACTTCGTGGTCTTCGAGTTCCCAGAACTCCATTCCCGGGCCACATTTTGAATGCCCGGAGCCAACTGTAGGCCACTTCGTGCTCTTCGAGTTCCCAGAACTCCATTCCTGGGCACATTTTGAATGCCCGGAGCCAACTGTAGGCCACTTCGTGTCTTCGAGTTCCCAGAACTCCATTCCCGGGCCACATTTTGAATGCTGAGCAGGCTGATGCTGAGGCTGAGGCAGGCTGAGGCTGAGGCAGGCTGAGGCTGAGGCCGAGGCTGAAGGCAGACTGAGGCTGAGGCTGAAGCAGGCTGAGGCTGAGGCTGAAGCAGGCTGAGGCTGAGGCTGAGGCAGGCTGATGCTGAGGCAGGCTCAGGCTGAGGCTGAGGCTGATGCAGGCTGAGGCTGAGGCACGCTGATGATGAGGCCGAGGCTGAAGGCAGACTGAGGCTGAGGCTGAAGCAGGCTGAGGCTGAGGCTGAGGCTGATGCAGGCTGAGGCTGAGGCAGGCTGAGGCAGGCTGAGGCTGAGGCTGAGGCAGGCTGAGGCTGAGGCAGGCTGAGGCTGAGGCCGAGGCTGAAGGCAGACTTAGGCTGAGGCTGAAGCAGGCTGAGGCTGAGGCTGAGGCAGGCTGAGGCTGAGGCTGAGGCAGGCTGATGCTGAGGCTGAGGCAGGCTGAGGCTGAGGCTGAGGCTGAGCTGCAGGCTGAGGCTGAGGCAGGCTGAGGCTGCAGGCCTGAGGCTGAGGCAGGCTGAGCAGCCTGAGGCTGAGGAGGCTGAGGCTGAGGCTGAGGCTGGGCAGGCAGGCTGAGGCTGAGGCTGCAGGCTGAAGCAGGCTGATGCTGAGGCAGGCTGAGGCTGAGGCTGAGGCTGATGCAGGCTGAGGCTGAGGCAGGCTGAGGCTGAGGCCGAGGCTGAAGGCAGACTGAGGCTGAGGCTGAAGCAGGCTGAGGCTGAGGCTGAGGCAGGCTGAGGCTGAGGCTGAGGCAGGCTGATGCTGAGGCAGGCTGAGGCTGAGGCTGAGGCTGAGGCAGGCTGAGGCTGAGGCTGAGGCCGAGGCTGAAGGCAGACTGAGGCTGAGGCTGAAGCAGGCTGAGGCTGAGGCTGAGGCAGGCTGAGGCTGAGGCTGAGGCAGGCTGATGCTGAGGCAGGCTGAGGCTGAGGCTGAGGCTGATGCAGGCTGAGGCTGAGGCAGGCTGAGGCTGAGGCCGAGGCTGAAGGCAGACTGAGGATGAGGCTGAAGCAGGCTGAGGCTGAGGCTGAGGCTGAGGCTGAGGCTGAGGCTGAGGCAGGCTGATGCTGATGCTGAGGCTGAGGCTGAGGCTGAGGCTGATGCAGGCTGAGGCTGAGGCAGGCTGAGGCTGAGGCCGAGGCTGACGGCAGACTGAGGCTGAGGCTGAAGCAGGCTGAGGCTGAGGCTGAGGCAGGCTGAGGCTGAGGCTGAGGCAGGCTGAGGCTGAGGCAGGCTGAGGCTGAGGCTGAGGCTGAGGCAGGCTGAGGCTGAGGCTGTGACTGCGACTGCCGTTGCCACTGCGACTGCCATCGCGAATGCGACTGCGACTGCGAGAACAGCAGAATTCTACAACAGGATTCTCATCTGAATCTTAAGGGGAATGCTTCCAGATATGCTCCTACACATCGCTGTTAGGTTCCTTTGCCGGGATCATCTTCCCACCCGCGTCGCGCCTGCGTTTTCCTCATCACCTCCCGCCTCCCCCTTTCTCCTCCTCATCCTCGTCCTTCTTCGCTTCACCCACACGCAACACATGCACTGAACGTGCATCAGACACGCGTCTACATGCAGCCGCAGGCATGCAGGTGTAGCTTTTTCCCGACACCATAGGGGGTGCGCAGGTGGTGGTCCCTGAGCGCGGCCGCTATCTGTTCCTGTCGTCCAGGGCATAGAAGGAGTGGCAATTTCCCATCACCATAGGGGGTGCGCAGGGGGTGGTCCCTGAGCGCGGCCGCTATCCGTGCCAGTCGCCCAGGGCATATGAGGAGTGGCACTTTCCCGACACCATAGGAGGTGCGCAGGGGCTGGTCCCTGAGCGCGGCCGCTATCCGTGCCGGTCGTCCAGGGGATAGCAGGAGTGGCACTTTCCCGACACCATAGGGGGTGCGCAGGGGGTGGTCCCTGAGCGCGGCCGCTATCCGTGCCGGTCGTCCAGGGTATAGCGGGCGTGGCATTTTCCCGACACCATAGGGGGTGCACAGGGGGTGGTCCCTGAGCGCGGCCGCTATCCGTGCCGGTCGTCCGGGGCATAGTAGAAGTGGCACTTCCCCGACACCATAGGGGGTGCGCAGGGGCTGGTCCCTGAGCGGGGCCGCTATCCGCGCCGGTCGTCCAGGGTAT